ACGAGAGCATGTTATTGCTCATAATCATCGTAAATCGATATTTTAGAACGAATATGTGTTTTGTTTTTTGGAGTTCAATTATGGGAATCCATTCTAAGCCGAAAGCAGTTCGCATTTGTGCCTACACTCCTGATTTTATGTCATGAATGTAAGTTCACAAGGTACACTACCTGGAGAAATAGTGTTGTCAAATTGGTCACCGGTTCATTAGACCTTAAAACGAACTGTTTCCTGGCAGTACGACTGCTTGCAGGCCGTATGCTAAGATAGTTTGCAGCGTGACCTGCCGAACTGACCAAGGCCACCTGTTGCTGTCGCTTTGATAGTGCTGAAATGACATATCTTACTGGGATCACAGGTAACTACGTCAACTGGTTTTCACCAAAATCTTGGACCAAGGCGAAAATTTTTCGCGTGATCCATTGAATTGTGGTGGATCCGCTCACCTCTTTAAAAGCTGTTCTTCAGGCATTAAAAACACCTGTGTCCACTGTTGACGTCAGAGGCTCGCAAGGAAGGGCGCTGTGCCGCGGACAGCTCACAGCTTCTCGCTGTTTGGGGTGGTCGCTGACATCGACGCGTGTCGCAGGGCTGGCAGCGGACGTGGGCACGCTGCAGCGGCTGCCGAAGGTGATTGGCAGCCGGAGTCTGGTGAACGAGCTGTGCCTGACGGCGCGCCGGCTCGGCTCGCAGGAGGCGCTCCAGTGCGGCCTCGTCAGCCGCGTGCTCAGCGACAGACACAGGTGCGCCGGGACCCTGAGGGCTCTCGCCTGGTGGGGACGGGTGGGGTGAACCGGCACAAGGGACCAGAGGACACTGTGGGTGTACCGGCACAAAGGGACAGGGGGGGGGGGGGGGGGGGGGGGGGCTGGGATCAGTGACAATGGTTGTCCCATGTCGCATCACTAATGCTTATTGGGCGTTATGGACGTATCCCGTGGTTATAACGTTTATGAACGTTCCCCCCATTGACGTTTATGGATATAACTGAAACTATCCGGTATCCTGAAGGCTCCTCCAAAGAAAAAACCCAATCCTTAATCCAAACATCCGTTTGTGGCGTCCCAGCTCGATCGCCTGTCTCGCGTGCAGAAGCTGCAACAGTTTGATGGTGCGGGTTTAATGACCAGTTGACGTTATGGATATATATGAACATGTCCTGTATCCTGAAGGCTCCTCCAAAGAAAACCCACATCCCTAATCCCAGACATCCGTTGTGGCGTCCCAGTTCGATCGCCTGTCCCCGCGTGCAGAAGCCACAACAATTGGATGGTGCGGGGTTAGTAACCAGTGACACGGCCCGGCGTCCCCGGTCCAGTGACGATTTCCGTTGGCCTGACCCGTACCCAGTAACAGGCACTGTTAAGCGGCTGTTCCGTACCCGAGAGCGAGTCCCGTCAGTGCTCCTACCTGGATGCCAGGGATAGTTGGCGCCTTGCATTGCTCATCTTATCAAAATGAATAAAAACACTTATATAAAGTGGCGATGACATTTCCATTATACTGTTAGGTGATAATGAACAACAGGGAGACAAAAAGAAAACTAAATAGATATTTACCTCTGGAGGTCATGAACCAGTGACAAGGGCTGCATAATGCTCGAAACACAAAATAAAGTGATTTGATGGGCATTATATCACTTCGTAGTCAAAGCGCCGGAAAAGTCCCATTGCTATTACTGCTTGTGTTAAAAAGTGCCTCTTCTCCGCAGAGACAACCGCGATGTATACACCGAAAAAGAATCACATCTTCGCATCACTTGAAAATGAAATGTCGGATACAGCCATCGAGTGTGCGCGATGGAATTATTTTTTAGTGAAATTTTGTAGAAATGTATCGCAGTGTGGGTTCGTAGTATGTAAAAATACGGAACCCGCCGGGAACGTACCGCTTTTCCCAATCGCAATCCATCAGAATTGTGCTGCAGTGGGCGCATTTAGTACCCTGTGTCCAGGCTGGAACCCACGTATCATTCACTACAAGCCGTAAAAATGAATCCAAGTAAACAACACGGTCTGTTGTTTGGCGTGTCCGTTGTAGCATTGTAGCCGCCGCCATCCGATTGCTCGGTGTGTTCATGATTATTTCGCAATATTGTCCTTTCCAATTTTTTGGCTAATTTCCTCATCATTGAGTCCTCCCCTCCCCCCCCCCCCCCCCCTCCCCCGCCGCTCTACTGTACATCAACGCGACTGCTCTCCCCAGTGTCCCCAATTAGTTTCCTGTTACTTTCTGTCCTTCGTCTCGCGCTGGCCACAGCTGTGCATCGCATCTTCGCTGCGTTGCTCCACTCCAGTCCCTTCCCCGCTTGTGACAGCCACACAGCCCTGTTGTCATGGTAACCGGCATCGCCTGCTCCTCCGCCTGTCCTGCAGTCTACTGGCGGCGGCGATCAGCCTGGCAGCCACCATCGCGCAGAAGTCGCCGGTGGCGGTGCAGTCGACCAAGCAGAACCTGATCTTCTCGCGCGACCACACGGTGCAGGAGGGCCTCGACCACATGGTGGCCTGGAACGCGGCCATGCTGCAGTCGGAGGACATCATGAAGGCGGCCACCGCCTCCATGGACCGCAAGGCTCCCCCGGCCGATTTCGCTAAGCTGTAGCGATGCGGCGTTGTCGCATTGGTGGCGTGGAATGTTGGCGTAACGGCATGGCGTACAACTCAAATCCCCTCACACGTAATTTTGCTGCGCTTAGCGTAGTTGTTTTCCATGAGGCCGGCCTGTCCCACGTGGCTCCGTGTGAGATAGCAGGGGTGTGAGTGCGGTCGGCTGAATGGACGCGACCGTCCCGCTCGGGTCTCTGCTGAGGCGAGAGCCGCCGTCGGTCCGCCGGGGGGTGACTGACGCGGCCTCGGTGGCTCGCTCGCTCGCGCATGCCCCGCGCGCCGGTCGTGGTCGAGCTCCGAGGAGGCGGACCGAACCTCGGCGTGGGGTTGGGGCCGGACCGCAGCGTTTGGGGACGCTTGGGGACGCTTGGGAGTGTGGTTGGAAAACGATAGGTAACGCTAGGTGCTGAGTGGTTATCGATCTGTGTTACCGGAATGTGATGCTCGTTGCCGCTGTTTGTGTGTGCGGATGACGGAGGGAGATGATAGCCATATCTGATGCCGTGCACTACCGTTGCCGTAACACAATGTTTTCACGGGAATCTTCCTGATACGTGAATTCAGGTCTGTGATTGTGGTCCGATTCCGCCACTATTGGGATTCAGATTAGCACTCAGTCGTGCAACCACCGATTCCATTGCGGAAAACGCATATGTATTGGGCCGTTGCCACATGTTTGCGTGATCATAACAAACTTGGCGTCCGCTGCGGACGTACAGCGTCTAAGATAGCCAGCAATAATGCTTGTATGGTTTGCTGACTCGGGAAATACAGATCAGAGACTCAGGAATACAGTCCTTACTTGTGTTGCGGGCTTCACGGCTCCGTCCTGGGTTACCATTTAATGCTCTCGGCATGTCGGCAGCTTCGTCTTTTCAGACATACAGCTAGCTCTCTGTTCAGATGTTTGTGGATGACGGTTATCACCATCTGCCATCATCAGAGGCCTGTGGATTTTTGGAAGGCGTCGTCAGTCCAAAGGCTTATGTTGTGCTTGGTACGTGTTTTAAAGCGTGATGCCTGTTCTTTAACGTCACATGGACAGGCTGTCGGACGATTGCAGCTGGATAGTGACCCGTCAGTTTGCTGTCGCTCCTATATTGCCGTGGGCTGAATTGCCTGACAAACGTTAGCTGAGATACCCGTGAAAGTGCACGCTGCTATCTGGATTAGTATGTTGCGGCGCAGCATACCAGGCGGGGGGGGGGGGGGGGGGGGCAGTGTGCTGTCGCCGACGGCTTTTTGGGAGGCGGCGCCTCGCCGTCACGTAACGCGCTTGGCGGTAGCCGGACCAGGCCTTTCCTAGGGGTGGCCGGAGCCGGTAGCCGTCGCGCCGCCGGCGTGGCCGAGGTGGCCGCCACCGCCTCGGGCCACGCGCCGACGGTATTGCCGCGACGGCTGAGCTGGTGATCAGACCTGGACCGGACCGTCTCATGCCGCTTTAGAATGATGCCGTCCCAGCGAGTACATGCGCCGTCAACTGGTCGAAGGGCTTTGCAAAGGTCAGGCTCTGCGCTGTGCGCGATGCCGGCGGCGCCGAGCGGGTCGCCGAAGTGCCGGCCCATCGGGACGACTGGTCGGCGTCTTGGCCCAGTAGGGGTGCGAGCCGACGCTGGGGCACGGCACGCTCGGGATGCGCCGCGAGTCCTCGCGCTCGCCTGCCGGACGGAGGCGGCGGGCGCCGGGACCGGCTTGCGGCGGGTTGAGGCTGGGCTGACGGCGGTCACCGCGTCCGGGGGACGAAGGCACGGACGGCGTATAACGGAGCTATCATTGCGCACCAGCAGGGCGTAGGTGTATGTCGTCCATACGGTAAGAAATGCGGATGCACATGGATATGCGCCACTTTGGCAATTTGTGACAGGAAACGTGCTGTTCCTAGTGATCCGTTCGCTTCAGTCACTGATTCGAGCAGTGGCATGCGGATTACGAGATTACGGCGGCGTTAGTTGATAAATCGCACCAGCGCTGTTATGCACGTCTTATTTAATGTCTTAGCTGAACGAAAGCGCCATAACATGCAAAACTAAGACCAAGGTGATTGGCAGCCGGAGTCTGGTGAACGAGCTGTGCCTGACGGCGCGCCGGCTCGGCTCGCAGGAGGCACTCCAGTGCGGCCTCGTCAGCCGCGTGCTCAGCGACAGACAGGTGCGCCGGGGCTAGTGGCCCGCTGATGGGGACGGGTGGGTGTACCGGGATCAGAGACACGGGACGGGTGGGTGCACCGGAGCCAGAGACGGGAACGGGTGGGTATACTATTATCAGTGATGTGGACGGATTGGTATACTATACTCAGTGATGGCGACCGGTGGGTATACTATACTCAGTGATGGGGACGGGTGGATATACCATTATCAGCATTGGGGACGTGGCGGGTATACTGTACTCGGTGATGGGGACCGGGGTGTATACTATACTCAGTGGCAGGGACGGATGGGTGGGTGATGTAGTGATGATGCGGATGGGAGCCTCAGTGATTGGGATGGTTTGGTACTGCGGACGTAGCGACGGACGGATGGGTGATCCAGGCCCCGCTACTGAGCACATGCCCGCATGAATCCCACCGCTGTGCCCTGTGCTCTGGCGACAACCCACATCTCTAATCCGGAGATCCGTTCTGACGCCATCGCCCGATCTCTGTCCCGCGTGCAGAAGCCACAACAATTGGATGGTGCGGGGTTAGTAACCAGTGACACGGCCCGGCGTCCCCGGTCCAGTGACGATTCTGTTGGCCTCCCCGCACCCAGTGACGGGTGCTGCAGGTGGCTGGCCCGTACCCGAAGACCGAATCCCGGCAGTGCTGCCACCCTTGTTGCAGAAACAGGTGACGCCTCGCAGCATGTTTATTTGACGAGGCCCGGTATACTCTCGGTTATCATAGGGCGCACCGCCTGCCAGCTGGGCCTGTTCCAATGCTAACCAGCGCGAAGGCTGCCGGTTGCGGTCGTCCTTGGCAGGCCCGTGGCCATGAGGGTGTCAACGATCCGTTCTGCATGCCGGATGGTGCACCGGAGTGGGCGAACCTGGCTTTCATGCGAGCGAGCTGGTGGCGGCCATAGGGTTTGATAAGATTTAGTGGTCTGGTCTATCCGTAACATCTGGAGGCGAGAGCTATACTGCATAAACAAAACAGAAGGTGACAATCTCAGCTATTCGTGAGCGTTTGTGGTGCCAGAAATTCAGAGCAGGTGTTAAGCATGAAGCTTCTTTAATGTCCTGACCGCAGCGAAATAGAGGAAATATGCAGCCACAACTAAGAGGGTGCCAAAGGCACCGTATACTTGGCTTTCGACGACCGCGTGATTTCGTGGATTGGGAACTAAACAATACACGCTTACCGGAGTTACCCGAGTTTTCTGCGGCCTCTATTTGTTATGGAGTGGTGTTTCTAAGGCTAAGGGAGTTCCTAATTCTTCTTATGTAAAAATAGATGATTTACATGTTAAAATCTTGCCGCATTTTGAAATTTAAATCGTAACGCTGTTCAGTGTTAAAAACAATAGTCGCTCCGCACTATATGGAGAGGTACTGATGGACAGGCAGAATGTTTAAAGATATAGGATGGTCCCATATCAACGATCCATGTAAATAAGATAGTGGGCATTTTGAGATCAAGTCAAGTGATTGGAGGTTGCGTTATGTTCCAAACACAAATCGAAGCACTGATGGCTAGAAACTTCACTTTTTCTTTGCAGGCTTTTGTGGTGTATGGCAGTTTGTTTAGGGAGCCTACGTGCCAGGCAAGTGGCAGTTGCAGCGTAGAGAGTTGGCCCTTGATGAGGTGGCGCAGTGGCGGGGGCGCGACGCGTTCGGACGCCTCGGGACGTTATATTATTGTTTTGTTGTTATTACCGAAGTATTGGGAAAATACTCACTGTAACACCTGACTTAGTGTTTGGCCGGGCTGTGAGAGTGGACGATACTACAGCTTTACAATGCATGCCGCGAAAAAAGAGCCACGTTCTGTAACCACCTCCGAAAATGATGTCGGGTCCGACAATTGAATGTGTGCAATACAGTGATTTTTATGGCATGTCTTAACCGGCGGCGAGTATTCAAACCACAATCTGACTGCATCTAAGTGTCTTAAATAGCATTGCAAATATGAAACCAATAACAACATGAATTCGTTCTGAATTTCATCCATAAGTGTTGTGTCGGAATGGCGCATTGAGCGCCAGGCGTCAAGACAGGAGGCGATACATTCCACTACTTACCGGAATAGATGTAGCGCCGTAACACCGTTACACTATAATACGATTGTTCGTGCGTTTTCATCCATGATCCGCATTTATTGCAGCCCCCAACTACTTGGTTGATTTACTCATTGCCGCAATATTCTCCCGCTAACAATAATGATGACTCTAACTCCCCGAGGCTTTCAGTTGGTTTCCTGTTGCCTTGTGTCCTTCGCCACCGTCCACCACAGCTATGCATCGCTTCTTCGCCGTGCTGCCTTGCCCAGTCCCTTCACCACCTGTGACGGCCACGCAGGTCCTGCACTTACGGATTCCATGGCCGCAGCACTTACAAATTTCATCGCGCAGCACTTACAGATTCCATCGCTGCAGCATTTCCGATTTCATTGCCGAAAAAGGGCGAGTTTTTATTGCAGCTATATGAGTGGCTAGCAATAATAATAAGCTAAGCATCAGTTACTAGCGTGCGGCGTGGTAACATAGCCAATAATCTGTGTATGACTCGTGACTTCGGGGAAACACAGATCAGAGATGCTGTTTACATTGTGAAGCCCGCCGGTTCGTGCCGGGCAGCGTTCCAATGTTTTCTTCAGCCCTGCAACTCCGTCTCTTTCAGGCCTACAGCTACCTAACTGTTTGAATGCTTATAGGCAGCGGACACCATCTTGCCACTGCGATCAGATGCCTGTTCATTTTTGGAGTGCACCGTCAGTCAAAGCTCTATGTTTGTGCTTCGTACGTATTATCTGATAACTACTAAAGCGTAGAAATTGAAGGTATTTTGCAAAGGCACGACACAGCTGGATTAGGACCCTGAGTTTTCTGTCGTTGTTCCTTTGTTGCTGCTGGTTCGCATCAAACAACAGCTGAGAAAGCCATGGCGTGCTCGCATCGGCCCTGCATATTTGTTGCGGCGCAGCATACCATGCCGGCGACAGCGTGCTGTCGCTGCCGGCTATTTGCGAGCCGGCGCCGCGCCGTGACGTAACACGCTGGCAGCGAGTGGGCCGGGTTTTCCCTGGGGGTGGCTGGGTCTGCGGCTGGCAATGCCGCCGACAGGACCTCGGGTCACGCAACGACGGCCATCGCCCGCGGCGGCTCGGGCTGGTGGTCAGACCGGACCGGACTGCCATCACCACGCGGATGAGGGATAGCTTTGGAGTAACGTTGATACTCACGGCAAGTGAGTAAACTGGCTGAAGGGCTTTGTGAGGATACTTATTTCAAATGCTCGTATTGGGTGCTCTCCAAGTCAGCTTGCGCTGCTGTTTGCCGAAATTTAAACATGAGTGTCATTCACTGTCCCTCGGGTTAGGAACAGATAGGGAAGGCGGGGCTTGACTCCCTTCCCCACGCCCCATTTCCAACGGGAGTATTGACCCCATGGCGATACCTGGAAAGGATCTTTCAAAACTGTAATTCACCCTGCGCAAACTTCCTGAGACGCTTTCTGCGCATATGCCCTGTTCGTGATGGTCACGGATAAGCTTGTCTGCATGAACGACATTTGTAGGCCACAGCGTTTGTAGGCCACAGTAGGCTGTTTTCATAGGTACCAATGTCCTTAACTTTCGCCGTCATCACACGCGGCATTTGCTGCGTGCCCGTTCATCAAACGAAACGGTCTCGCCACTGGGTGTATTCAGCCAAAGCCGACAAAACTGACGCGGCCGACGCCTGAGTGGCGCCTCCCTCGCCGTTGGCCCCCCGCCGTTGTGTACCGCCCCGCCGCCCGCCCACCGCGCCCGCTGCGCCACCTTTAGGGGTACAGGCCGAAGCGCGCGCCGCTGGTCGTCGATCTCCTTCTGACGGGCGTCGGCGGTTGGCGCGCGCCATGAGTCGCGCAGGTCGTCAAACTCGGCGCTGTGTGCGATTGCCGGCGGCGCCCGAGCGGGTCGCCGAAGCGCGGGTCCATCAGGTCGCGCCGGGTCGGCGTCTCGGCCCAGTACGGGTGCGAGCCGACGCTGGGGCACGGCACGCTCGGGATGCGCCGCGAGTCCTCGCGCTCGCCTGCCGGACAGGGGGCGGGGGCGCCGGGTCACAAGCTAGCGATGCGGCGGGAGTCCTGGCCGTCAGCCGGAGCCCGTGGCGGGAGCCCTGGCCGTCAGCCGGAGCCCACGGAGAAACGCCCTGGCCGTCAGCCGGAGCCCGCGGCAGGGAGTCCTGGCCGTCAGCCGGAGCCCGTGGGCGGGAGCCCCTGGGCCGTCAGCCGGAGCCCGTGGCGGGAGCCTGGCCGTCAGCCGGAGCCCGCGGAGAAAGCCCGGGCCGTCAGCCGGAGCCCGCGGAGGGATCCCTGGCCGTCCGCCGGAGCCCGCGGCGGGAGCCCCGGCCGTCCGCCGGAGCCCGCGGCGAGATCCCCGGCCGTCCGCCGGAGCCCGCGGCGGGATCCCTGGCCGTCCGCCGGAGCCCGCGGCGGGAGACCCTGGCCCTCAGCCGGAGCCCGCGGCGGGGATCCCCAGCCGTCCGCCGGAGCCCGGCTGGCGGCCAGAACGTCGACTTCACGTGGCAGGCTGCATGGACGCAGTGACAGGGGACAGGCGGTTTGCATAGTCAGGCGCTATCATCACACACCAGCGCGGCGTGGGTTGTGTGCTGCACACGACGCAGGATATGTAAATGGTCACGAATGCACAGCACGTGGACGATATGTGACAGCAGGCGTGACACTCTTAAATGTTCAGCTGGCTTCAATCACTGACTCCAGAAAAGTGGTCATGACGGTTACGAGATTAAAGTGCCGTTAGTAGCGCTGTTATGTATCGAGCTCAGTTGCGCTTCATTTCAGCAGGCAGTTAAGAGTGTTTTTTACTTTACGCTCCCAGTGTCGGTTAGATTAGTCCTACCCTGCGCAGAGTGATGTCATATATTAGTTAGTGGTCCTCCGTTGGCTGGGCTCCAGAGGTGGCCGGCGCCTTCGGAAGTCGTGCCATTCCACCTTCCGCTTGGCAAATAGTCTTCCAAGGAGTTTTTTCAAGATCGTTATCTTCTGGTGCGTGGAATTTGCATCGTTAATGCCATAAGTATAGTCGTGCTATGCATTATACCCATCTTCATGCCAAATTGCTGAGTGGGAGATAAGCAACTGATAAATTACATCCGACACGTTTTTAAATACGAGGCACTTTGTCTCATAAGACTTAATTGATTTCAGACGGGCATAACCCTTGACATTCGAGGCCATCGATTACGAATCTGTTATAATGATTAGGGTTTCACGCCTCGCAGAGTTCCAGGGTCGCTTCGAGACGGGATGCCTTTATTGGGGTACCATGTGGCATGCGGTGGTGGTGTGGCCGGGACCCGAAGCGGGTGCCGACGGGTCCAGAGACGAGCATCTTAACCAAGACACCACCACTGCTCCCTACTCGTCTGCTGCGGCCTCCGGCAAAGGCCGTCATTCAGATTCGAAACCCACTGGCATATATTGGGGAATACCCTTGTATTCGCTCCCAACATCCGTGTATTCGTCTTCCGTAGCAGGGTTCCTCCGCGGCGCAGCTCGTCACCAGCGATCCTGAAGTCCCAACATCGTCAAGGCGTTACCGTCTCCAGACATCGCCCAGCACTGCCCCGGCTCTTTTGATCGGATGTCAGTGCATCTGCCGCCACAAGACGGCACACGAAACTAGCTCAGCCGCGCCAGCGCGCCACCGCCGTCGACCCGTCCCTTCTCGCGGCGCGTCACGCGGGGTGACGTCACGTCAGCGGAGTGACGTCACGCCGGCTGTAACGGGCGGGCGGGGTCGCCGCCGCCCCCAGGCGGGCCGCCGCTGACCGGCCCGCCAGCGGCGCCCCGCCGCCGTCCGCGCCGCCGCCGCCGCTCTAGAAGCGCGCCGCGCGCCTTGTCGGCCGTCGGCCCGGAGGTCGCGGTGGCGCCTGCGCGCGCGGTCGATGATGCCACGCACGTCATCGTAGGCCGGCGCCATGGGCAGGTTCACGTCGTCCAGCGGGTCGGGCGCAGTGAAGAACGGGTCGCTGAGGGGGTCCTTGGCGGCGGCGGCCGGCCCAGCGGCGCGCGGCGGCGTGCGGACCGGCAAGCGGCGCCGCTGGTATCACCGGCTCGCTGCGTGTCGGGGTCGTATCGCCGTGATCACCTGAGGTCAGAGGCGACCGTCAAGGCCGGATCAGCCGCCGTCGGGGATCGGTAGGGGGGGGGGGGGGCAAACACCTGTGCAAACCTGCGAGAGGTAGGACACCTTTCCGATATGCTTTTTAAGATTGGTAGGAAAATAGCTGATTGCTTGACCTCGATGAATTTAACCACAGCTTAACCAGATCAAGCAAAGATAGTATGTAGCTGACGGTCGAAACTTTCAGCATAGCGCTCCAGCACTGCGAGCTGCTTGCAAAAGCTTTGTACAGCCGTGAGGATGGTGTTTTAAAAAAACGGGCTATGCTGAGCTCTAGTCATTGGTGTTCGTTCCATTGTGTCCACCGCCAGACGGGAGATTGGTCAACACGCGTCTGGTGGCCGGCTAGATACCCTTGGCTCGGATGGGGGGCCAATTTGATCCCGCTGAGATCTTGGGAACTAAGAAAGCTAGAGAATACCAAGTTTACAGTGTCTTGACCTGTACCGTGAACTTATTAGGTCAAAGTAAGAGGTTCCTAGGTCATGACCTTTGGGTCAATTAAAGGTCAAACAATGTCAAATTCCAGGTTGGTCTCCAAAGTGCCCCCAGAACCTAGATAACTGTTTCTAAGCAAAAGGTTGCTTGTTCATTTCAGGTCAGTGACCTCGTTTACCTATTAAAGATCATAATGACCAAAATCATACAACACTGCTCTGATTCATGCACCTGAATAAACGACAAAGATTATGCTAGGCAGTATGTTTCTAAAAACAAAATGTTCACCAAGATAATTTTAGGTCAATGACTTATTCTGATCTCTAAGAAGTCCATTGGAGATGCATAATGCGGCTTCTGCTTTCAATAATTTGAAATGAGCACCAGAAACTATCCTAAACAGCAGGGCTTAGAGTAATAAAACAGGTTGGTTTTGATCTTGGCCTGACGCTCATACCTGATCTTAGATAAACTTAATTTGCTCCTTCAATATTTGTGTAGCCTAAGAAAGTATCTCAGAGACGTATGGCTTCGTCTAACACCCCGTGGTTGCATCAGAGTAAACGATTACCCAGAAATTGACCTCGCTGAAACCATGGCCTGACTTTGACTTGTCATAGGTCAGCAACCTTACAAAGTACATCTAAATTGTTGATACCAAACGATCCGCTATTCAATTGTCTCTAGCTATGCAGCATTTGGCGGAGCTTCGGAAAACATTTTGGAAAAACCTCGGCGGTCAATTTGACACCCACCCGAGCGCGTGTTAACTGGTAAAATGACACCCACCCGAGCGCGTGTTAACTGGTAAAATGAGAGCTTGACGTTTTGTTGAAACATGGGTACCAATCTGGTGGCCTTAGTTCTGCACTTCAAGTCGGTGTTTTTGCTGTTAAAGAAGCAAATGTTGGTGAAGCCTGTGGACTAACCGTGAAAAGCTGTATGAACCCTTCGAATGTTCGAATATTGCTCAAAAATCCCTTGATAAGCAATGTTTTATCTTTATAAACATGGAACGGATGAGCGCAAAATCAAGAGTGAATGTCCCATGCATTTCTGGACGTTTTTGTCCCATCAGCCATAAGAGACTCTTTCTGCAGTTGTGAGATGGCAGCCACTTAGCCGTGGTGGTCCCACTGTTCACTTTTTACGCCGCATCTGATGAAAAATAGCACATCACGAACAACTAAACGCATGTCCCCATATTGGCCATTTACTGGCGAGATGCTGTTTGGAAAGGATGCATGTCGTTTAATATCTACTGGGTGGAACTAAACCTCAGCCGTCATCATTCCCTCAAGGCGTCGAAAATAAAACTGGAATATCTGTGGTAAAAACTGGACAAAGACAATTTTTGTTTGATGTCTGTCGTGCCTATGGTTTGCAGACGGAAGTGCGCAGGCTTCTCTACATGGCACGGTGTTCCATCCAAGCACAGCCGCCGGCTGGGGAGAAGGAAGCAGCGGGGCAGCTTGCCTCTTAACTAAAAATGCAGCTCAACCGTGCGTGGTGTGGATCTCTTTCTAACGCACTACAGCACAGCTGAGTTTTTGGCATCCATACGCTTTTACATCTTCACATACGTCGTGGAACATGCGGCACAACTTCTCCGCTAGAAGGATTCGAGCATCTACACCGAGGCCCTGACCCGAGCATCTTGACCTCAGGGTTGTTACTCACCTCGCCGTCACGCACGGCAAGGCCTCTTTACCACAGGCCTCTTTCGTTCTGGGTAGCTTGACCTCCACGTCGATGCTTCCAATGCGTGCTGGGAGCGGGGACGCTGCTAACAGGTAGCTTCACTACTCTGCTCTCCATCGCGCTCCAGGGTCTAGCCGCTACTGGGTGTCTATTGCGTCGCTCCCTACACCACTCCGGAAGAAGCATGCGCGGCGCGGCGGCCGGCCCCACAGGCCGCTTACTGAGCTCCCGTCCAACCTACGGAGTCAGGTCAGTTGCCGGCCGTATACTGCGGCACGGCCGGCGCCATCCTCAGCTGATAGACGGGTCGCGTCTCCTTGACCGCCACCAGCGCCTGCTTGACCTCGACGCTACGCTTGCTGGTGGCCACCTCCGAGCTGTACTGACGGTCGACGCGGATCGAGTCGCTGACCAGAGGTGGAGTGGTGCCGCGCTGCGCCCGGGACTCGACTGCCGGCGCCGACACGGGTCATGTGCGCCGGGTAACCTCGGCCGAGTTCCATTGACCTGATCTGGGCTGACCTGGACAGACCGCGGGTGTCGGCGCCGACACGGGGTCAGAAGGGCTCCCACAGGCGACAAATTACTGGGTGCTGAGGGTATTTGGATGGATCTGGACACAAAACTGATTTGGTTGTATAGGACTCAGATATTTTAAATTCAGCTTATGGATACAACCGTGATGCGTCTGTCCGGACAAGCAATGCGCTTACGTGGTCGTTTGTCCGAAGGAATGCAAACTCCCTACAACGGCGGTGTTCTAACCGCTCCTAAATTTCGGATACGATAGGTCGTGCGAATTTTGTTAAATGTTGTTTGCAATAATCCGCCGGGCCCTGATTCATCTGGTTCCCGAAAATGCGTGCGACATTGTCTTGTATCAAAACCACAACGATCTGCTTCGACCGACGCTTCCCTTGAACTGAGCCTCTGACTGGTGGTGTTCGGCATGGTGCACTGTGGGGATGGCAAATGACCTACCGACCTTCAGAAAACAGACGAGGTTTCAAATCGCCCTGACCGACGCGTGAGACACAGCGTCGAGTGCTCACCGCTAAAGCACGTCGGTCCCGGCTGGCTGACTGTCACCTGGTCACAGGACAGGCTCTCCCACCTGTGGTGCACGTACTGGCACGTGTCTACATGACCGAAGCCGAGGCCGAGGGCGAAGGCTCCATGGACGCTGCGCTGGACCAGTCTCCACCCCTCACGTAAACGCGCTCGACCAACGCCCGAGCCCTGCGCGGCGGTCCGCGGTCTTGGCTGTCGACCGGTATCGGAGCCCCTACCTGTACCGATCGGAATGGACCGCGTGAGCGGTAGCGGTACGACGTCGGGGCCCCGTCGCGCCGGCTCCGGGCCTCTGCCAGCATTCCGCGCCGTTTTAGGTCGGCGACGTTGCCAGCCGCCGACCGTAGCCAAAAATACGGCCGCCGCCGCAGCTCCAGGCGGCCGGCCGCGGCCGGTGCCGGCTGGCAGGCCCCGACCTCCCCGGCCGACACGCAAAAAAAACCGCTCGGGGGTCGCCACGTCGCGCCGTCCACCGTCACTCCGGGATAGCACCCGGTCCCGCTGCCGGTGGACGCAGATGGCGCCACCTGCGGCCCTCCTCAGCGGCGGGTGTGGCCATCGCACGTGCCGGTGATGATCTGCCGCTGCTGTGACCGTGGTCGTTACAGAGGGGGAGGGCGACAGTTCCGGCCGTTCAGGGCCGGGACGGGTCCGCCCTGGCAGCGTGCCCGTCCCAACACCTGGGTGACGGGCGGTGACGTGCGGTGACGGTGGCGACTCCCGGCCCGTCGCCAAGACCCGGGCCATGTTCTGTCCCCCGCCCTCCCCCTCCCCCCGTCCCCCTTCGACTGGGCCGATGATGGCTGCTGCCGCTGGCGCTGCCGCTTGCGCCGCCGGCAGCGCCAGCCGCAGCATCAGCTGCGCAGGGTTATCAGCTGAGTGGTCGCGCGTTTGCAGCAGCGTTAGCGAGCGGGATGCTGTAAAGGCAGGCGAGCAGCACACATTCCCGGCGAGGCAGCGGAAGACGGCGTTACCATGGTTATGACCCTGTCGGGCGTCCCACAGCTGGGGAGCGCTGCTCTGGACGCAGGCGTACCTTTCAGGCCCTTCATGTATGAGCCAGAAGCCGGCATTGCGTTCCAGCGGCGGCCGATGGGTAGGGTCGAGTCCCGCTTCCAGTGCACCCATCGTCGGACACCTGGCCGCGTACGAGGTCACGTCAGCGGCCGCCTCGGTGGATCGGTGATGGGGACCAGCGGCGATGAATCCGGGTGGGGGGGGGGGGGGCAGATGGGCGTGGTTGAAACTGCTGGTGAAGGTTTGAGGAATGTTGTTTTCGCCTCTGCAAAATTTCAAAGGGTTCCGCAGTGGCCTTATAAAGTTCGAAACGAGCCCCTTTCAGGTGTACTCGAAGCGGGGCTCTAGTAGCGAGTTTGGGATACAATGCAATATCTTCAAACTGTTGATCAATGGCCCTGAATTATCAAGAAGATTTACGCGCAAAGTAAAGGTGCACCGAAATTGAAAATTGAAACCGAAAAGCATCAACATCTCTTCGAAGAATTTCACGCCTGATGATGCATCTGGGACCTGCTGAGTGAAACAAACTTCCAAATACTTTGAAGAGATCTCTCAACCGCGTAGTTAGTCAAGGGGTCTCAAGATGGCCAAAGGATCTTTGCGAATCGAAGGAATTTCGGCTGGCAATGCTCCCGACATGAAGAAAGACCCCGATATGCCCCTTAATGCGAAATGGGTCCCTTGATATACAAAGGGACCATAGCCAAGGGTATATATATATATATATATATATATATATAATATATATATATATGTGTGT